TAGAGACAAATTTACAACCACTTGTTTCACTATAGAAAAATTTATTATTCAAATCGGGTCAGGACTTCTGGCCCACCCTTTATAGGTGTGCGCTAACATCTATCCTTTATTCAGTCAAGGTACAAAAACTACTAGAACTAGTCACTATAGTCAACGTGAAACTAGTAGAAAGTAGCGCTTACTTGCAGAAATTTTAGTTGTAGAATATCTCGACCTCTTTATTCTGCTCTCTTATGACTGGCTAATCCATGAAATATCTAATAGACTTTTTTCCATGTTTGTTTTAGACCACATATTGTATATTATATGCAAATGCTTATGGCCTGTACGGTGTATACAAATAGTACCAAAAAAAGCTGAGATTTTTATACTCATCACTTGTTATTATTTTCGGTTCCACTGTAATGAATCTTTTAGCCAGTGAGAACTGTCGTTTTACTTAGTGTAGAAAATGAATGAACCTTATTCGCTTATATTTAAATTGAAGTTGTGACTGTTGTTGTGGTTCTACATCTTGTTAGTCATTCTCTATATCTTAATCTATAAAACCAGTCTGGCTCAACTCTTCTTGTTGTTGTTTTGTTTGTTTCCTTCATTTTTATATTTACCTGTTTGGTGTTAAGCAATTGATAAATGAGTGATCGAACTGATTCACCCGATTCCTCCTTTAACAATCATCGTTACTTGGTGAAACTAAGAGGTTTACCTTATACAACAACTAAAGATACTATTCGAAAATTCCTTGACCGTACGTATATAATAAAACTATTTTTTTACATTAAATTCTTTGTTACTTATAGCATATGCCCATAGTGTTGAAAAGTGATTCTCAGCTTAAAATATTTTATGTCTGTTTCTTGTACATTTAGCGTGTCATATTCACAATGGTGATAGTGGTATTCATATGTTAACTATAAATGATGGTCGATCATCTGGAGAATGTTTTGTTGCTTTGGAATCTGAGTATGATGTTAAAACAGCTTTATCAAAATCAAGAGAACATATTGGAAAACGATATATAGAGGGTACGTGTAAAAAAACAATTATCTGAAATTACTTCTTGTATAAAGTAGGCAATGAGAAAAATCTGGCTTCCTATCGGCTCTCTTCTAAAGCTGTTAGAAAATCATACAAAAGTACTAATCCTCCGATTATCGTGTGAAAAACTATTCACGTTGGTTGCCGTGTAGAAAGAAGTTAGTACAACTGGTACGAGATATACCGGATGTTTGTTTTAAAGTGATTGGATTCAGAACATCGATGTAAGACTATCTACAAAAAAATAGGAGCATTTGTAATGCTAAATACGTCGATTTTTGGTCTGCAGTAGGAGTATCGTGCTGTGTTTTTCATTTGAAAGTCCCTGAAAATATTTTCGAATCCTCTCTGATTCGCTTCATCAGGAAGATCAGAATCTCTTAATCAAAAGTTTTTGAATTAAGAGGATATCCGATTTGCCTCATGATGCTGCAGAGATATGATATAAGAACACTTTTAGCTGATGAAAGTTTTGAATATTTCCTTTCACTCACCAACATTCTTTATTCTTTTGTTTGTTGATTTTTCTTCATTTTAGTATTTCGTGCAAAGGATTCCGAATACAACTTTTATGTCAAAAACAATGGTCTTGTATCCTGGCGAGAACCAGTTATTCGAATGTCTGGTTTACCATACCGTTGTTCAATATCGGATATACAAAAATTTTTTGATGGTTCGTGAAATTTGCAGCTCTATCATTTCTTCTTAACAACTTTAACTTCACGTAAATTCTTTATCTATATCTCTAAATGTAGTAATAGATGATTCTGTTTAATGGGAGAGAGTTGGAGTAGTAGTTTTCGTATTCAAATAAACGTATTATTGTGTAAAAACACTACGTTAAATAAATACATTTACTTTATTGGGATTTGACATTTTCTTTAGAAAAGTGATTGCTAAAGAAACGCGCAGTCGATTTCCAATGATAATTTAAACACTTTTCTTTTACACTAGGTTTGGAAATATCTAAAAATGGTGTATATATCGTCCGCGATTTTGATGAACGTGCTATTGGCGACGGTTATGTAGCCTTCGCAAACATGGACAATGCTTATGAGGCTATGGAATTAAATCAAAAACAAATTGGACATAGGTTGGATTAAATGTGACGCTGAGGACGAAAATCTAGGAGGGGAAACCAAGGTTACAGGTTTTGGACAACTTGGCTTGAGGGAGACCAAGGTTTAACAATGAACCAAGGTTGCCGGGAGAATAAAGATGTGGAAGGGATCGAGGGCTAGGGTGGGTAGCAGGATGGTGACTTGCAGATGGCTAGATACGGTATTCACAGGACTTGTTTCAAAAATATGTTTTTGGTTGTTTTATTGAACACAGTAGATTTATGCACAACTATGCACTGAATGAGTTTTTCTGAAAAAAAGAAATAATAGAAAAATATTACCATTTCATTTATTGTTGATAATGCTTTTTTAAATTAGTTTGCTAAGACGTTTGGCGCATCATTTAAATACATCTGTGATTTTCTCTTATATTTGTTTTTCTTTCATCGCTTTGTTTTACCGTTGTTTCTTTTTCTGTTTATGTTAGATACATCGAATTATATCCAAGTACTTATAAAGAAGTACGCCAGCGTATAGCCAGTGACGCCAGTAAACAATCAGATCGATTTAGTGGTTTAAACGATACAAAAGGCAGAGGAGGGCAGTCAAAACGACATCATTCATCAAGATCAAGATCAAGAAGTCCAAGTAAGTAGGATTGATTTGACAGTTTTTTGCAATGTCTAAATCTAGATTGCTTAGTTTTCTGTCATGAACAGAAAGTGTACTACAGTATATAGATTTCTGAAGATAGATTCTGTACGAGCTTTCGTTTATCTTCGTTCAAAAACATTCATACGAAGACAGATGCATTGTCGGTACTGCCAAATGTACTTTTTGTAGATTTTTTTTTCTAACTTGCTCTTTTGTTTTTGCGTAGGTCGCTATCGTCGAAATCGTTCACCAACTCCTCTTAAACGTTTTCATGGTACGTATCACTCTCCGACTCGCATTTGTCTAGAGACTGATTATTTATAACACGCTTTTATGGTAAGGAAACTAGCTAGAAACATCGAACTACACTCCATATTTCTCTAGTGTACATAGTATTTCTTATCTTTTTATTCGTCTACGCTAACACAGTTTAATTTTCTTATTATGGTTACTCGCACTATATTGGATATTTTCTTTTGCTTATAGCTGATCGTCGTTCACCTGTCTCAACTCGTCTACCTGCGCATTCTTGTAGTCGCAGTCGTAGCCGCGATCGACGTAGTTCTTCTGTATCAAATAAATATACAGTCAAAATGCGTGGACTTCCTTATCGGGCGACTGAAGAAAATATACGAAAAGTAAATTGAATAATTGCTATCATTTTCAATAACTGGCAGGTTTTTCGATTTTTGTTTCAGTTTTTTTCTCCTTCGTGTGAACCATCTTCTGTGGAAATTTTATATCATCGTCAATCAAATCTTCCAAATGGTGATGCGTTTGCACACTTTGACACCTATGAAGATGCCAAAAGAGCATTAAAATTTGATAAGAAATATATGGGTGCGTACTAGCATACTTCTTCAACGATCTACTGTTGAATATATACTGTTCGAGAATGAAGATCAAAAAGTATCCTTGTTTTATTTTGTCTTTAGGTAGTCGTTATATTGAACTATATTTTGAATCATCTGGTACAAATGAGCGTCCATCTCGCGAGCGTCATCGATCACACTCTCACGATCAACGAAATAGTAGAAGTAGATCAAGAAGTAGAAGTGATAGACGACATTAGATCAGGTAAAGGTAAATTTACAGTTCAAAGTGGTAAACCTTAGAATCTATCAGTCTCGAAAACAAACCGACTATAATAACTGACATAAGATATCAACTTTTTATTGATCAGAGCATTTTTTCTACTTACAAACTACTTGACGATGTATAATTAAACTTTCTTCTGTGTTGTAGAACGTATTGTAATTTTATTTTATTTTTATTTTAGAGTCAGCTTGCCTATATAGAGACATTTTTTCTCTCTATTGATTATTCAACGACGTACAAGAACTGATACGAATTCAATTTTTTCCTTTTGTTTTTGTTGCTATTTTTCTTTTCTGTGTAAAGGATTCATTTGTTTTGTTTTTTTGGCTTTTGATTTTTGGTGTTTATGATATGAGATTTTCCGTGTTGTTTTTTGTGGTCATTATCCTCCTCGTTTTCCAGCCACAATATCGAATTTGGAATAACGTATAATGGTCTCGGTTTTGGAGGATAAAATACACGTTTTTTGTGTCCTTAATAATATGAAGAAAATAATTCTATGTTTTTTATTGTTATGGGTTGTTCTTGTTTTTTTTTGTTTTTATTAAAGAACAATATATTCGTCGAACAACTATTTTTTATGCGTTTTATTCTGATCGAGCTGCCTTTTGGCTTTTGTGAACTTTTGCTTTTCAGACACTTCTGCTGTGAAAAACGCCACAATATCAGAAAAAGTGCATTAGTGTGTTTCTATTAGAAAACGTCAAACTAAAAGGTTATTAAAAAACGAAATGTAATGATATTTTAAGATATTCAAAGGCCTAAACGTTTTCCTTGTGTTTTCGAAGAATTTATACATGACGAAAAACTCATTTTTTAAATGGCTTTTAATTCACTTACGATTTAGTAAATAAGAATCTCCTCGAGCTTCGATGGTTTTCTTGGATGATATTTTGTCATTCTTCTTTTCAGATCATTCAAATATACGCAATCGGTTCATATCCAGTAAAAATGGTGGTCAAACTAACTTCTCAATATCTTTTTCATCGAACCATTTCGTGACAATACGAGAAGTTTCAGCATTTTTAGTGATTGTTAATTGAATAAAATTTGAGAATGGCTGTATAAAAGACCGAATATCACAAAAAAAATGATTACATTAATTAAAGCAGCCGTCAACATTTTTATAAGACGAGAGGTATGTTTCGAGTCGTTGTTCAGGTTGAAACATCATCTCGAGTTTCAGTTTTTCTGATGACTAGAACAAATTTTTGTGCTAAATGTCTGTGTTTATTTCGCTGGACATATGGTCCCTAACGGACATCAAGTTGCCAATTCTACTTCGCGCAAAATATCTCAACATTTTTACGTTCTATCGCCTTGTTTCACTGTAGGTAGGGTGCATCTTGGATGTAGCTCTTCTTCGATCGATCTCTACACCATAACCTTTTCGTCGCTACCAAACAAGTATTTTGATTCATCCGACCATAATGCCATATCGATTTTCAGAAGTTCGGAAGATTGTCTTGATAAGTTTTTGCATAAGCTAACACTTTACCACGACTCACTTTGTTAATGTATGGGTTCTTTTCTTGCTAAACGTCCGTGCAAACTAGTTTCATGAGCCCGAAGATTAACCATTTGTGTTAATATTGATACATCCAAGATTTTTTATTTCTACCTGGACGTGGTATCTTCGCCGTATTATTTTATTAATTTGTGACTTGGTTACCCGTTTTCAACCTCGACCGACAATATTTGCAACATATTTTATTTTTTGAACTTTCTCATGATTGCTTGCATCATAGATTTTGGTATCGCTGTTTTTTCAGCAATCTCTTATTTTCCTGGAACATATCACACATAGAGTAGAAACAAATCGGAATTGACTGACAAAAACTTCGTCAAACGTTTGCATCTTTTTTAAATGATAGAGGGATAAAAAAAACGTTAGAAAATGGATAAACAATTTTGTCAGCATTCCCAAGTGAATATTTGTTTTGATTTTTGGCGTTTATGACATGAGATTTTTTGTAGTCATTATCCTCCTCGTTTTCCAGCCACAATATCGAATTTGGAATGATGTACAATATTCTCGGTTTGGAAGGATAAAATACACGTTTTTTGTGTCCTTAATAATATGAAGAAAATAATTCTATGTTTTTTATTGTTATGGGTTGTTCTTGTTTTTTTTTGTTTTTATTAAAGAACAATATATTCGTCGAACAACTATTTTTTATGCGTTTTATTCTGATCGAGCTGCCTTTCGGTTTTTGTGAACTTTTGCTGATCTGGTTTAAATCAAAAGTATCGACTAGCAAGTATATAATCGAATTAATTCTAATTAATCAGGAAAAAACATTTGTTTTATTTGCTTTAAGTATACTGCCTTTTTTTAGCATTTTTTGTTGTTTTTTCTGTTTTAAACCAATTTTTAGATTATTTTCACCTTGTGCAGCTGTAAGATATAACAGTATCCAGTGTTTTTTCCTTTATTGTATACACGAATTATGTGAGTTTTTTTTTTGTTTTTTTGTTTTATGAGACACTCTTTCAAATAAGAGAACATCAAAGTGTGCCCCTGGATTATTAGTTGGATATATCACGTATAGTAAAATCGAACGTGCTGATCACAAATATGACGGTTTAAACTGATACCAGTAAGGTTGATAAGTTTTGGTTTTCTGTTGTTTCTATATCAACAAAGAAGATCAGGTTTCAATTTGTGATACTTTTTTTGACAATAACGTCATTGTAAACGGCAGCGTTAGATTACTCTTTTCTTGGAAAATATTGTCAGCTCGATTTATTTTATTTTAAAGCAAAATGACACATTTCTTATATTTGGATCCAAAGTATCCCGCTTTTTTCTTCCGTTGTTCTGAGTTGAATAAACAAAATATTGATTTTTCGAAGCATTTCAATTAAGTCGCTTTGTTTGCTCGAAAAATCTTTAAAGAAAAGTTGTTGTGTGTCTGAAGCATCAGAAAATTGATTGTAATCTAACTTGATGCATGTCAATGTATGAAAAAAGAAAAAGAAATTTATTGAAAAATTGTTACACTACTGACAATTTTGATTAATCTGTAGTAGTTTCTATATTGTTCACATTTTCGTTTCGTAAAAGAAAATATGCAGTACATTTCTTATAAAAAATTTCATGGCACATCTTTTAAAAATAATTTGAATCTAGACAATTTAGTTGTTCAAAATATACTGAAAGGATAATTTATTCTGAATCATTCGTTATTTGTGATCAGCACACTCGAATATTTTTGAATCTGAATTTCTTCGGGGTTTATCTGTTATAAGCGGAGTGATAACTAGAGGTCCAAAGTGAATCAGAGCGATCACACCTGTATTTCAACTCGAACTTGAACAGGCAGATCATGGTTAAGAAAAGAAATCATCTTTTTTCTGGATTTAGTGCATAATTTTTACTTTCTAAGCTTATGTAAGACACTGACTGAGTAAACTAGTACAGAATAACTAGCATGAGAGCTTTTTTTTCTAGAGGTTGGTCTTTAGTGTACTATCCTATTCAAAACTTTAGGGAATTATTTTTCTTTTATATGATTTTAGTAACGGTATAGAAGAAATCACTGTTAGTGTTAGTTTTTAGGTCAGGATAGTTTTCTCGCTTATTCGATTCTTTCGGTTTGAAAATTCGTAATTGTATCAAATCTAATATTTGTCTTTCTCGTTAAAATAGGAATAATTATGATGTGAATGCTTCAAATAGTGGTGGTCATCAGGTAATGAATGGTGATTCTTCTCAGCAAGGTATCGGCGGCGGCGCAAGTAGTCAACAAATTTCTACAACCGTTTCGACTGGACGTGTTCAAAATAATAATGGTTTAAAAGCAAAACGTTTTCAAAGAAACAATCTAAATCGATTTGATCCAACAGGACAGCAACAATATGGGCAGCAGAGAGCTAATGTAGGAGGAGGAGGAGGTGCAGGAGGAGCAGGAGGAGGAGCAGGAGGAGCAGGAGGAGCAGGAGGATGGCCACAACAAGGTGGATATGATCCATATACACAACAGCAAGGATATGGAATGCAAGCATCAATGGGTTATGGAGGTTATCCTACAGATCCATATTATAATCAACAACAAGCTTATAATCAAGCAGCAGCCATGTATGGACAACCCACTTATACTGATCCAGCAGTGGCCATGTACTCACAACAACAACCACAGCCGTTAGTGCCCAATTCGATGGGCGGAGCTATTCCACCTGAATCACCAAAAGGTTAGTAAAAAAGAGTTGGTACGTAAGCTTAGGAAGAAATTAGTTATATAGGGGTTTGCTCGTTTATAATATCTAAGTGTTTTTTTTCTGTAATATCACTATTTCTTCTTGTTTTAGGCGGTCATGTTGTTTATGTTTATGGTATTGGACAACGGGCAACACAAACAGAATTACAAATGTTATTTGAACAATTTGGACGTGTTCTTCGTGTAGATGTGATTATTGATTTTAATACTAGTTTGTGTAAAGGATATGCATTCGTTGCCATGGAACGTTATCAAGATGCACAGGCCGCTATACAAAATTTAAATCGAATGCCGTTTCATGGTAGACAATTACAGGTTAGGTTTAAAACAACAACATAAGTAACATTCTTGTTGTTGTATTTGAGAACTATTTCGAACATCCACTCTTTCTAGAATACGTGTTTGCTTTTTGTTTGTACCTCTGTTTTTCTTTGTCTATAGTCTTGTTTTAAAGCGATCGTGACTTTGTCTATTTCTATAAGGAAAAGAAAAATTATCCAACATTCAGCTGAAATATGAGAACAGTACAAGGTTTGTTAACCAAGTCCTCTCGATTCATATCTCGACAGACTATTTCAGTGAGCATATTATAAATTCTCCAAGGCTGGTGTATTCTAATTGTATTACGAGATAAAAATTACTTGCTTCGAATGAATGGTATTTCATCCAAGTTTCAAAAATTCTTATTCTAAATCAAAATGAACTTTCTACTTCACATTTAACAACTGACCTCTGTCATATAACACTGTTTTTCAATCCTCCGTGATTGAATATTCAATATTGAAAATTAAAATGATCGTGATGTTCTGTTAGTCTTGGATCGAGTACCTGTGGTCGCTGTCGAAAAAAGATCGGTGTAGCCATCAATGGTCTTATTTGTTGTTTAAGATTATAGAGTAAACAAACTTGTTTACTTGACAATCGCATCTACTATCCCTGTATTAAGTGTTCAGAGATCTTGTTTCATCTACCTGTAACACTAAAACATGTATCAGATAATGCTGAAGATAAAGTGAAATGTTTTCACTATTTTATGATAGAAAAATAATCTCCAATATAGCGCTTATAAGTCGTTTGGTAACACTACAGAAAATAATTTTATTAAAATATACAGACAATCATTCACTTTTTTTCTTCGTAAGAAAAAGGATCAACACAATTAAACAAAACTTCCACTAGAAAATAAATAAAAAAATAGAAACAAGTATATTTGATTAAATGTTACGTGTCATCGCTTAATCTGTTCAACAGACTAAGAAACAGAACAAAAAATATCTCAACTAATATAATAATGCCAATGATGTGAAATGAAAGAATCGATATACATGAGTATTATATTCTACGATAAAGTGGATCAGAGCGATCAGACCTGTATTTCAACTTGAACAGGTAGATCATGGTTAAGAAAAGAACTCATCCTTTTGCTGGATTCGGTGCATAATTTTTGCTTTCTTCAAAAATAAAGAATCTATTTCTATATAGGTTTCTTAAAATGTTTTCTTAAAATGCTGTATTGATTTTAACGACTGCTAATTTGTCAGCGAATTCAAACTGGAGAACATACGAGTTAAACAGTTTCATGTCGTGTGATCCTTCTAGAAGAACAGAACTTTCAAGTTATTAAATGTTTTCTACAGGAGAAAACAGCTTTTTGAATTGAAAGCGTCTCAAGTGATCAATTCAATTCCGGGATTATGTGAGTATCTTTCCGTACAATATCTACAGATATCACGAAATAATTATCGAAATGACATTTATTTTGCTTTGATCGACTGTTTCTTCACATCGAATGAATTTTATCATACAAAGATAAACATTTTCCTTGTGATTTACCTATAAACATTCACTCGTTTCGTTCTCACTAAAACTTGTTTAATTAAATATTTAGAATTGCTGTGAACAAGAAGTTTAAGTTCGGTCGACAAACCGATCATCGCTATCATCTCCGACACTTGGACTGAATGCCGTTTCAATCACTGTGACTTTTTTTCAATAATGGCGTATTGAATAAGAAAGAGGAGAAAGGTAAAGGTATTCAGATTGTACAAATAGGCAGGTACCAATGACAGATTTTCCAAATCTTTTGCAGCAATTGAGAGTTTTTTAAAGAGATCACATGTTCAAAACCAAACATAATAAAAAAACTGGCAGTCATCTCACGTTACAGATCGTAGATCGATAGATTTTCAATTAAAAATTATCAAAATAGTTTGGAACAAGGGACGTAATTGGAAATACAGACGTTTTTGCACGCCAGAAATTTTTTACAGTTGGTGTATGCCGATGTAGATGTATTGAACTTGAACAGATGTTGAAATTTCAGCAAGACAATAATGTTCATGTTTTTTCAATTACTACTTACTCAAGGAATGGTCTAATAGTTGAGAAATAGTGCAAGAAAATTGATTCATTTTGAACTATCTTCATGTCGTGTGTGTGCAATAGATTAAAAAATATTATACTATTATTAATTACAAACTAAGAACTATCAAATAGAAAAATTAACGTTTTTATATTCAAACCGGAAAAAGGACTTATTCATTTTCAAACGCACAAGCAAAGTCCTGATTGTCAAAATCTCAAGTAAAGACATTGGTGAATGTTTGCTCTAAGAACAAAGCTAAACTACTATCGGTTCTAAAATATAACGTCGCTGGAGCCTGTTTTTAGAAAAGGCTTAAGTATTCGACTTAAATGGATTCTTAAGGGAAAATTTAAGTTATACTTAAGGAACGCTTAAGTGCATTTCTCAAAAAAACTTAAGTTAAACAGAGGTCATGCAGTAAAAAACACAATGTCGTATTGAATAAGGAAGAAGAGAAAGGTAAGGTGTTCAGATTGTACAAATAGGCACGTGCCAATGCTAAATCCAAAAAGCCACTTAATGATTGCTTTTTTTGCACACAAGTTGTCAGATCGGGTCGGCTACGGGTTACGTTTTTATAACCCATGCAGATCTCTACCAAACGCTTCCGTCCATAATGTGTCGTGCGAAAAATATTATAAATACAATATTCAATAAGGCCATGCCAACCTAGGTAAAGGATGAGCCAGATTTACTGGAGCAAATTGACCAATAATCACTACTGAAACGTTCCAGTAGTTCGGACCCCTTTATCCTTGAGTTT